TTCTTGCTGATTAAGGACCAGCGGAAGATCCCCATCAAGCGGACCGGTATCCTGAAGCACGTCATCCGTGACTACAAGGACATCTTCCCAGACCTGCTCAAGCTAGCTGCCGAGCGGCTCCACTATGTGTTCGGGTACAAACTGGTAGAACTCGAACCCAAGAGCAACGCCTACATCCTCATCAACACCCTGGAGCCCGTGGAGGAGGATGCTGAGATGAGAGGCGACCAGGGAACGCCCACCACTGGCCTCCTGATGATTATTTTAGGGCTCATCTTTATGAATGGCCACAGCATCCCGGAAACCGAAGTCTGGGATTTTCTTCGTCGTTTGGGGGTGTATCCCACCAAGAAGCATTCAGTTTTCGGAGATCCGAAGAAACTCATTACTGAAGACTTTGTGAGACAGCGTTACCTGGAGTCCCGACGGATACCCCACACAGATCCCGTGGACTGTGAGCTCCAGTGGGGTCCTCGAGCGAATCTGGAAACCAGCAAGATGAAAGTTCTTAAATTTGTGGCCAAAGTCCACAATCAAGATCCCAAGAACTGGCCCACGCAGTACTGTGAGGCTTTGGCAGACGAGCAGAGCAGGGTCGGACCGGAACCCAGTGGTCCCGTCGCGGCTTCTTGAAATAAATGCTTGGGATTCTCAAGTTCAAGGAGGAAGAATAGGAAATATGGGGATGGGAGAAGCATATTTCCACAATAATTAAAGTGTATTATCTTTAAGATGTGTCTCAGTTTATTTTTTCTTTTAGAACTGATATAATTCTATGATACCGTACCTGAGCTGGGCCGTGGTGGTGGCTCTCGCCTAATCCCAGCACTTGGGAGGCAGAGGCAGGATAACATGCACATGACTATCCTGAGAAAGGGAGAGACATTTAATAAAAATCAGCATCATCTAAGGATATGTTTGGTTTTTGTTTTTTAAAGTCTGTTGCGTGTGCATATATGTACACATGTGAGTGTCATAGCATGTATCGCTGTCAGAGGACACCTTTGTAGTCATTTCTTCCCTTCCCCCTTTACATGGTTTCCTTGAACTTTCAAAACAAGTGCTATAGCTTGCAGAACCAGCGCTGATTTTTTTTTTCTGAGACAGTTTCTCTTTGGTTCCTGTCCTGGAATTTGCTCTGTAGACCAGGCTGGTCTCGAACTCACAGAGATCTGCCTACCTCTGCCTCCCAAGTGCGGGATTAAAGGCATGCACCACTACATTTTTATTTATTTATTTGGGAGAGGGGAGTGCCATGACAAGAGTTTTAGTCAGGGTTTCTATTGCTGTGAACAGACACCATCACCATGGCAACTCTTATAAAGGAAACCATTTAATTGGGCCAGCTTACAGTTTCACAGGTTTAGTCCATTATCATCATAGTGGGACATGGGAGCATGCAGATAGACATGGTGCTGGAGAAGGAGCTGAGAATGGAGAAGGGGCTCAAACCACAGGACAACAGACACTGAGACACTGGGGATTATGAGCAAAGAAGACTTCAAAGCCCATCCCCACAGTGACACACTGCCTCCACAAGGCCACACCTACTCCAAATAGTGCCACTCCCTTTGGGAGACTTTTGCTTTCAAACCACCAGCACCTGGTGGCTCTTAGCTTTTCTTTAACTCCTTTTCACAAATCAGAAATTTAGCAGAGTGGGATATTGCTCTGAGGTCAACAGTGCCTTTATTTCATTTCTTAATCTGTTTATCTCCTTGAACACAGAATTTAGCTCCATTCCACCTCTGGTGCTCCTTTTCTCCTAAAACTGCACATTTAACCACACAATTGGCTGTTTTGAGATTCTCTCTTCCAGTGGAATTAATCCAATTCTCTTCACTTAGCCTCAGGCAGTCTCTTGGGACGTGGGCAAAAGACAGCCACTTTCACCACCAAATTGTCACAAGAACCGTCTCTAGGTAACAAATTCTTCTCCCTGGAAACCTCTGGACCCAGCCTTCACAGCGCAGTTCATCCTCAGCACATCCTCCGTGCTCCTACTAGTGTAACCCATCAGGCAGTGCTCAAAGCCATTCCAGTGCCTCTCTATCCCAAAGTACCAAAGTCCAAATTCCTCCAAACAAAAACCGGCTTCTGTCTTAGGGTTCCTAGTGCTGTGAAGAGACACCTTGACCACAGCAACTCTTATAAAGAAAAACATTTAATTGGGGTGGCTTATAAAGTTTCAGAGGTTTAGTCCATTGTCATCATGGTGGGACAGACATGATGCTGGATTAGCTGAGAATGGAGAAGGAGCTTAGCAACAAGAAGTGGTCTGAGATACTGGAAAGACCTCAAAGCCCGTCCCCACAGTGACACACTTCCATGTGCAAGGCCAACCTACTCCAACAATGCCATACCTCCTGACAGTGTGTCTTTTTTTTTTTTTTTTTTTTTTTTTTTTTTTGGTTTTTCGAGACAGGGTTTCTCTGTAGCTTGGGTGCCGGTCCCGGAACTAGCTCTTGTAGACCAGGCTGGCCTCGAACTCCCAGAGATCCGCCTGCCTCTGCCTCCCGAGTGCTGGGATTAAAGGCGTGCGCCACCACCGCCCGGCCTGACAGTGTGTCTTAATTAGGGTTTCTACTACTGTGACAAAACACCATGACAAAAGGCCAGTGGGGAGGAAAGGGTTAATTAGGCTTATACTTCAGCATTGCAGTTCATCACTGAAGGGAGTTGGGACAGGAACTCAAATAGGGCAGGGTCCTGGAAGCAGGAGCTGGTGCAGAGACCATGGAGCAGCGTGCTTACAGACTAGCTTCCCATGGCTTGCTCAGCCCACATTCTTATAGAACCCATCCCAGGGACGGCCCCACCCACAATGGGCTAGACCTTCCAGAACTGATCACTAAATGAGAAAATGCCTTATAGCTGGATTTCCTCAGCTGAGGCTCCTTCCTATATGACTCTAGCTTGTGCCAAGTTGACACCTACAGAAGCACCCAGCACATAGTGCCACACCCTTGGGGGATATTTTCTCTTAAATCACCACAAGTATGTGGAGGCCAGAGGAAACCTTGAGGGAGTCAATTCTTGCTTTCTACTGTGTGATTCCTGGAGGTGACATTGGAGTCATCTTGCTTGGCAGCAGGTGGCATTCCCAGCTGAGCAGTCCCAACAACCCTCCAGCTCTCCTTCCTTTCTTGTTGTTTTTTCTTTTAGTGTTGTTCTTGTTTTTTGAGACAGGGTTTCTCTGTAGCTTTTGGAACCTGTCCTGGAACTCGCTCTGTAGACTAGGGGCTGACCTCGAACTTACAGATCTCTCTTTTCACGAGCCACGGTTTCTTGTGGGTCAGGCTGGCCTTGAACTCACTACCTAGTCAGATCTGGCCTTGAATTCTGACTACGGTTTCTAAAAGTTATTACGGGCTTGACCTCTTGATCTTCCTGCCTGTACCTCCCAAGTGCTGGTGTGCTTTGCCACACCCAGCTGGAAAGTCATTGTTTATGATCGGAAACAACCAAGGGTTTCCTTTATCACCATGCCTATCTCTTCTCTTAAGCACTGTAGTCTACAACTAGGAAGTCAGGAATGGGAACAAAGACTGGAAAGGAAAGAATAAAGCTTTTTAAGTTATAGGATTATATCAGTAGTAAATCTAGAAGAATCTTAAAAACTAATGACAAATTTAGCAATGAATTGTAATTATTTATAAAAATAAGTAGAGCTGGTTATAGTAGCACATGCCTTTAATTCCAGAACTGGGGAGGCAGAGGCAGATGGATCTCTGCAAGTTTGAAGCCAGCCTGGTCTACATAGAGTTCCAGGCAGACAGTGAGTAACAGAGACTCTCTTTCAAAAATAAGTAAGTATATAACCAAAATAAAATAACTAGGACTGGAATTTAGATCAGTGGTGGAACACTTGCTTTGTCAGAGCGAGGCATGAGTCCATGCCCAGTACCACAAGAAATAAAGAGAATAGTAGTAGTAAATAATAGTGATAATAGATACTTTAGGGAGCCAGGCACAGTGGCTCATTGCTTGTAATCCTAATACTGAGGCCAAGGTAGAAGAATTGTTAGGCGTTAAAGACCAGCCTGATCTATATATCGAGTTCCAGGCCAGTCAGGGCTACATAGTAAGATACTGTCTTTAAAAACACCTAAATAAATAAATAGCACTAATAAAATCCAAATCCCTGGTAAGAGCATAATATGTTGTTAAGTGGGTAACGAAAGTTAAACCCTACTGCATGCTGGTAACTGCTAACACGGCCAAAGCAAAGACTAGCACTCACCTGCCGGCCTTGCTTCTTGTCCCTCTGCAGATGTAACTCCACTCCTGCTTTCCTCTGCTTGGGGAAGGATCTTACTCTGTAGTCCAGGCCTGACTGAAACTCATTATTTTATCTAATGCCAGGCTGGTCTTAAATTTACAGCAATCCTCCTGTTTCAGTTTTCTAAATACTGTGATTATAGGCATGAGACACCAAGCCAGGCTTATGGAGGATTTTTTTTTTTTTTTTTTGAGATAGTGTTTCTCTGTGTAGCCCTGGCTGTCCTGGAACTCATTCTGTTTTTTGTTTTTTCGAGACAGGGTTTCTCTGTGGTTTTGGAGCCTGTCCTGGAACTAGCTCTTGTAGACCAGGCTGGTCTCGAACTCACAGAGATCCGCCTGCCTCTGCCTCCCAAGTGCTGGGATTAAAGGCGTGTGCCACCACCGCCCGGCCTGGAACTCATTCTGTAAACCAGGCTGCTCTCAAACTCAGAGATCTATCTGCCTCTACCTCCCAAGTGATGGGATTAAAGGCGTGTGCTACCACCACGCACAAAGGCATTTTAAAACCCATGCAGGTTCTATAAAGAAGCAGTTCTCGTATCTGACAGAAGTGAGGACTTAGGACCTTCCAAAGAGAACAATGAAAGCATTCTGCCTGCCCCTGAGGATGGGAGCTGGGGAAGTGTTTGGTTGGTAGCGGTACCACTCTGAGCAGGGTCTCCAGAGAGATAGGACAAAGCACCTTCATTTAGCCACTTTGCTCTCTCACGCCACAGCCTTCCTCCATGCCGGTGGATCTGCAGGGAGAGAGCTCCTTACAGGTGGAGATTTCTGATGCAGTGAGTGAACGGGACAAGGTGAAGTTCACTGTTCAAACCAAGGTACGGTGGCCTGTTGGCCAGGAGATGGGCAGATGGCCTGGGATGGGAGGCAGAACCAGTATAGCTTCCTGCCCCTTAGGAAGCCATCAGCCCTGAGTTGATTGCCTTTGGCTGAAGCCCCACCTTCCTGAATGAAATTACGGGTTTCAAATGGGGTGCAGGATGGGAATGCTAAAAAGTGGCTGCTTAGCAGGTTTGGTGAGGGCAGGTTTGGGGGAGATGAGGTCTTACGTGTCTCTGGGCTTCCAGAGTGGCCTCCCTCACTTTGCCCAGCCTGAGTTCTCAGTGGTTCGGCAGCACGAGGAATTCATCTGGCTACATGACACCTATGTGGAAAACGAGGAGTACGCCGGCCTTATCGTGAGGAGGGGCTGGGCTGGGCTGTGAGGGGCAGGCTGGAAACATGGGTTAGGACCCAGGCTGTGATGGCCTCCTTGGCAATCCATCCCTCCTTTGAGCAGATTCCCCCAGCCCCTCCCAGGCCAGACTTCGAGGCTTCAAGGGAAAAGCTGCAGAAGTTGGGTGAGGGCGACAGCTCCATCACCCGGGAAGAGTTTGCCAAGATGAAGCAGGAGCTAGAAGCGTGAGTGTCCAAACCCCAGCCCCACCCCAGCGCTCTAGGGTTTCTTCCCTGACTATGACAGATGTCCATAGAGCCTGACCTCTAGCCCCAGGTCTGCTGAGAAAGAGGGGGAACCATGATAATGGGAGCTCACTGTGGTTGTCTACAGGGAGTACTTGGCCATCTTTAAGAAGACGGTTGCAATGCATGAAGTCTTCCTGCAGCGTCTGGCAGCCCATCCCACCCTGCGGCAGGATCACAACTTCTCTGTCTTCTTGGAATACAGCCAGGATGTGAGTTGATTTAGGATGCTGGCATCTGAGACCAGGGTTGGGGAACCAGGCCTGAGAATTTCTCCCAGTTTGCTCCCTGTGTGAGTGGCATTTGACCATGGTAGAAGGTCCAATGCCCCACCCTAGCATCTCACCCTCTCCTTAGCTGAGTGTTCGAGAGAAGAACAGAAAGGAGGTCCTGGGAGGGTTCCTGAGGAGCATCGTCAGATCTGCAGACGAAGTCCTCATCACCGGCATATCGGGGCTCAAGGTGACCCTCTGGCTGTGGGAGGGAAGCCACTGGTTGGGCCTGCTGTGGACTGCCAGGAAATGGTGGCACACTGGGTGTTGGTACTACCATGCTCCTGTTGAGTGGGTAAGACGTGTTCTCTTTCCATCCTGTAGGAGGTGGATGACTTCTTTGAGCACGAGAGGACCTTCCTAGTAGAATACCACACCCGAATCCGAGACACCTGCCACAGGGCCGACCGTCTCATGCTCTCCCACAAGTGTATGATGGCTTGACGGGCTCTCACCATGGGTGGGGCTTGAATGTAGATTTAGGGGCTCTGATTGGGATTGTTCTCCAACAGGCCTGGCAGACGACTATATACCTCTGTCTGCTGCACTGAGCAGTCTTGGAACCCGGGAAGTCAGCCAGCTGAAGAGGTAAGGACGCATTTCTCTGTCCTCTCCCATGCCTGCAATACTGTGTGTACCCAAGAGGGTGTGCACTCTATAGAAACCAGGTGGGGGAGGGGCTTGCAGAAGCTTCTCAAGGGGTTAGGGGAGAAAAGATTCCAAGGAGGGTTTGAGGGCAGAGGCCTTGAGCTGCCCCAGATCCCTGCCTTCCACCTCCCAGGAGCTTCCTGAAGCTGGCAGAGCTCTTTGAACGACTGAGGGTAAGTACTGCCTTCTACACTCAGGGTCTTCTGTAGAGAGCCTTCCGTGATGGGTGGGCTTGGTGGCTCCCACTCTAGAAATGGAATTACAAAGAAATGGAATGGAGCCAGGCCATGGTGGTGTGTGCCTTTAATTCCAGCATTTGGGAGGCAGCAGCATAGAGATATCTGTGAGTTCAGGCCAGCCTGATCTACAGACCTAGTTCTAGGACAGTTAGGGCTACAAAGAAACCCTGTCTCGAAGAAACAAAACAAAAAAAAAACCCAAAAAACAAAATTAATGAAGACATGCAGAAAGCATGCCATTGAGATGGGTGGGGTGGGAGAAGGGCATGAGGGTGTACCACACCTCTGGGAGACTGCCCCCAACATCCTGTTGAGATACATAATTCCCAAACTCTTATTCCAAACAAGTCCATGCAGTATACCAATCTCTCTGCAAGGTGTGTTCAAGAACCTGCAGGGGCCTTGTCCACTCAAGCCTACCAAAGATACAAAGCCCTTAGCTTGCCCTTTGGCCACCCTACTCTGCTTTGCCTATGTAACCTACTGAGTCTGTGGTTCACTAAGCTTGCACACATGCACACACTTCTCTGGCCTGCCTTCTGAAACTCAGAACCTGATCTCTAGTAGTTCCAAAGCAGTTCTCTCCTGGAAACATAGAGGAAGGGCCCCTTCCCAGTCTCATCTTCCTGACACAGAAGCTGGAAGGCCGGGTAGCCTCTGATGAGGACCTGAAGCTGTCTGACATGCTGAGATACTACATGCGAGACTCACAAGCAGCCAAGGTGAGAGGTGGCCCGAGGCACTCTCAGGGATTGAGGCCATGTGGGATGGACAGGCAGCAGAATCCATGGCAACTGGATTGTGCTGATGACCTTAGGACCTGCTGTACAGGCGGCTTCGGGCACTGGCCGACTATGAGAACGCTAACAAAGCGCTGGACAAAGCTCGTACAAGGAACCGGGAAGTGCGACCAGCAGAGAGCCACCAACAGCTGTGTTGCCAGCGCTTTGAGCGCCTCTCTGACTCTGCCAAGCAGGGTGAGTCCTGAAGCCTGGCATGGTCCCAGTGAGAATCCACCCTGACCAACTGTCCTTACTTTTTCACTCTTTCCCCAGAGCTCATGGACTTCAAGTCCCGCCGCGTCTCCTCTTTCCGTAAGAATCTCATTGAGTTGGCAGAGCTGGAGCTCAAGCATGCCAAGGTGAGCACTCACAGGCCCCTCCTGACTGGTGCTGCTCCCATCTTCTTCCCAGTGTATGTATAGTCAGGCCCAGGGTCAAGGTAATGCCTCCTCTCCTGGGGCCAGTATTTTTCTTTTTTCATTGGGTACTAGGAAGAGGGCCTGCAGGCTGAGCAGTGGATACAACAGTAGCAGCCCTCAGAGAACTCTAAGCGCTTTTCTTCTGCAGGCCAGCACCCTGCTTCTCCGAAACGCCCTTGTTGCCCTTAAGGGAGAGCCTTAGTGAAATCAGATGCTCCTCTGAAACCTTCAGCGGCGTCCTCACCTCCTACCCTCCCCACAGAGATGCCCCCTCTACCAAAGCTGCCACTAGCCACACGCCCACAGCAGAACCCATTTTTCCTTGCCCCAACCAAGGCCCAAAGGTGGTTGTTCCCCACTCCTACGTGGGCAGGGCAGCATGGGGGAACACACCTGGCCACAGGTAAGCAGTTTCCAGGGACCCTAGCCCTCCCCACAGCAGGCTGAGTCAAATTCTCCACCCCTTCCCACTTCTGGCTTTTGAATTCCAAATAAAGAGCCTGGTTTTATATAGCTGGGGGTCTGCTGGTCTTCACTTTGCACAGTGCACGCCCTTACCAAGTCACCACACACTGGGGACTCAGAGGCAGTCCTGCAGCACCACAGCTCTTTATCAAATGACAACAGGTTTATTTTTTTGGGGGGGGTTGTATCATTCTTAGCTCTACCATAGAACACAATTCCCAATCTGTTGGTTGCTCTAAGCTCAAAGGTAGAATGCTCGGCTACTATGTATGAGGCCCTTGGTTCAATGCCCAGCACCGCAGAAAAACAAAGCTACTGTCCAGTAGTCTTTCTCTGCCTGTCTTATCTTACAGAAATTTCCTGAGAAATCAGCAAACATGTAGCATAAAACCTCAATAAATGGGAAAAAAATGGCCCCTCCTGCATCATTCCCAGTTTGAATGAGGCTAAGGAAAGAACCTTTAGCTAACTGGGGAAGACTAACTTAGACTACTACTCCAGTTCACCTGCCATAGGGCAGTTTCAGTCCTTGGCTCAGGCTGGAGTCCACAGAAATGCCAGCAGAACACTCAAAGCTTTAGCTCTGGTAACAGGAGGAGGTGGGGCTCCAGACACCTGGGTCTGAAGTCCTGGGCTCCACCTGGCTGACCCACCCTGAATGGACTCCAGCCATAGGTACAGTAGGCCAAAGGCTCAACTTAGGTGCTCACAGCACCACTGATCCTGGCACTAGGGTAAGCCAGTCACCTCCGGGTATGGAAAGGCAAAGATCTAACAGAACCTTCAAAAGGAAACAGTTCAATAGGCCACCCGAGTGAACTGTATTTAACCCATAGGTGGAAAGCGGCTCAGTGCACACTGTCCACCACGAAGATCCAGTGAGTTTCAGGTGTGACACTCTGAACCCAACCTCCTGGGTGCTACCAACTGTGGCACCCCACCTCAAAAAGGAGGCTCAATCACTGAGGTCCGGGCTAGGGGTGCAGCATAGGAGAAACACTTATCATCCCCCAACACAGGGTCCCCCAGATCTCAAACCTGAAAAGCCACCTTGTTAATTAGCCTTTTTATTGGTTTTTTGTTTTTTTTTTTTTAAATTGAAGGTCCCTTACTGGTCCTGCTTTCATGAGTGGCTGAGAACAAGGGGAAGGGGAGGGCAACCAGCTGGCAAGGGAGGGTCATTTCCACATTTCATTTACACACAGAACTAAACAGACAAGCACAGAGTCACTATTGTGGTTAGAAGTTGGCAGCATGGGATGGGGGGATAAGGAGTAGGGTGTCGTTAAAAAAAAAAAAAATAGGTCAGGCTCCCCCCAAACTGGGTGCCTGGGAAGGGACTTGGTCTGCTTCAACCCAAGAGGAATCAGAAGATCAAAAGCCGTTTGGGAAGGCCAGAACCGTCAGGGTGGAGGGAGAAGGACGGTCCAGGGGGTGGGGGGGACATTTGGCAACTGGGGTGAAGGGATTACCCTCCCCCTGCTGGGATCCCCCCAGCCCCTCAGGTCTGGCAGGAAAGGGGCAGCCTGCAACACCCATGAGCAGGTCTGGGGCTGCTAGATGCTCCAGGCAGGGGGCTGGAGGCGGCTCACAAAGGCTTGCCCTCCAGGGAGATGACGGCACTGCCACCTAGTTTCTCTGCCAGGGTGCAGCGGTCCTTGACCTCCTCGTAGCAGTTTGCTTGTAATTCATGCTTGATTCCTACGGAGAAAGAACAGTGAGCGGAAGACTGGGAAGCAGCCCTCAGAGCAGGAAGGTGCCACCCAGCAGGCAGAATGGAGGACCCCGTTGTTGTCATCCATTCCCCACAGCAGTCATGACAACAAGAGGGCATACGAAGAAGGAACCCTTACCTGTCAGCTTCTTCTTGATGGCATCCTTGGAGCTGGCGTAGATCATTTTGCTCTTAAGGGGTGCACTCTCAGGGGCCCTGAAGACAAAACAAGGAAACTGCTGCAGCCTCCCCTAGACAACGGATGACTCAAGAATAAAAGTACCCCTACTCAACAGTGTGTTTCCCCACCCCCACGTTCCTCATTAGTTTTGTTACAGCCCTGACCCCAAACCTAGGATGATTTCTGCTAAGCTCTAAGAGAGGGAAGAGGTGGCAGGCAAGAGAGCTCGGATAATGAGCTCACCAGAAGATGAACACCAGGTCCTCCTTCTTGCTCTCCTTGGTCTCATAGGTGGCATCATAGAGAGCGTAGCGGCAGTCCTTGTCTGGCAGCATCTTGACAAAGGTGGTGTAGGGATCGTCCACAGTCTGCCCCACATCTCCTACCAGGATCTCCTTGCCCTCCTCCAGGATGATGTTCTTCTTGTCCTCACTCAGGCAGAAAAGCACCGCCTTCTTGCGTTTCTTCACTTCTTCTGGCGTCGAAGACTTGCGCACTTTCATGTCATTGAACACCTTGATGACACCATCAGAGACAGCCACACCAGAGGCCTGAAGGACGAGCCAAATAATACACCTTGTGAGGGAAAAGATTCTGGGGTATTCTCTCCAGTTACAGGAAACCTCGGTCAGAACACCAAGAGAGCTAGCTCTCAGCCCCACAGAGCTAGTAATGTCCCTGCAGACACAAGATGGTGCTGCCACCCCCCACAAATCCATCACCTAAGGACTAGTTGGGACAAACTCCCTGCAAGTGAGAAAATCAATTATCTAGTTCAACACTGGCATTAAAGGTTAGAAACAGCATTTGTTAAAAAGAAACATAGCCAGGGGTGGCGGAACATGTCTTTCCTGAGTTCCAGGACATTCAGAGTGACACAGCGAAACAGAGAAACTCTGTCTCAAAAAAACAAAACAAAACAAAAAAACCAACTAAACAAAAAAACCCTAAAGAAAACAAAAACCATTGAGAACTGCTGGGTTGTGAACGGCAAATGCAAAGAATTTGAAAGCTACTGATTAGGTTGACACCACTCTGCCGCTAGATTAAAATGCTGACTTAGATACAAAAGGAAGACCAAGCACTTGGGCCATAGACTCATCTCCAGGGAAGAGGGGATCAGAACTTCACAAAGACAACAGCTGCTCAACAGTTCATTTAAGTCCCCAGAGCCTTCAACGCACCCATGGCATAAACGATACTGCCCTGCCAAGAGCTCCCAGACACGAGAATTACAGCCCCTAATTAGGGCCCTGCTGGACAACTCCCTACCATCCAATAGTGGTTTAGAGTCCTAAAGATCACTGACCAATTAATAGGTCACGCTGTAGTGCCCAAATCGTCAAAACTTTCTACTTTGTATGGCCCTGGGGGGACGACCCAATCAGAAATGTGTAACCAACACCCCAACCATGGAACTGCAGAGGAAGCTAGCCACGTGATTCACCCGCTTCCGGAGTAGGCGGGGAAAGGAGATTGGTTTGGGCGCAGGGCCTCCCCAAGAGACGCTCGTATCCCAGAAGCAGTAGAACCTACGATGTCTCAAAGCCTAAAGATCGCTTTTAGGAATAATCGTTAAGGCCGTCAGCTTTAAGAGGTAGCACGGGCCATTCACACAAGCATCAGTTTTCCAGGCCCTCAGGCTGAACATGAGAGCTGGGTGGCTTCCGGGCGGTACCCGCCTGGGTCACTTCCCTAAACGCGGCTCCACCCTCGGCCCCATCCGGCACAGTCAAAGGCCTAGCTCGTCCAACGCAGAGGCCGGGATGGCAGGACCCAGGTCTGTGCGCACGCGCTGCTGTACAGCGCCGTTCCAGCCCTAGTCCGAAGTAGAGTGAACAGAGAAGGCTGTGTAATCGCTCTTTCTAGAACAGGGGCTAAAGCCTGAATAGGACCCGCTCTACTGGCGGTGCAAGGTCCTGGTCTCAGGAGCCAGTGCTTCAACCCTAGCATCCCCCCCACCCTCCGGCCAGTTGCCCCCGCCCCTCCCAGACGGCGGCATCCCTGCCACCTGCTGTGGAGACAAACCCATCAGCAGAGGGAGGGTGATGCGAGGAAAGGAACAGCCCTTGGGTGGGGCGCGCGCCGACATCTCGCGCGCGCTTTTCCCTAGCGGCCCCGGGGCAAGGTTTGGATGCCGCGTGCCCTGGACCAGCGCGCGCCATCGAGAACCGGCGAGCGTTGTTCGAGGCTCTGCACACTGGCCCCCTCCCCCACGGCCAGTGTCCGTGCGGGCGCGCGAGCGGAATGGGGGTAGGGAAAGGAGCCAGGGGGCGCGCGAGCGACGTCCGAATCGGCCCTTCCCAGTGCCCACGGGCGCGCACGCGCGGCCTGCCCTTCATGGCAAGACCCTTAGTCTCGCTCGGGGCGCTGGGGGAGGGGATACTGAGAACGCTTCTCTGCCACCCCCACCCCACCCGGCGCGCAAGCCACTGATCACGAAACCGCCACCCTCGGGCACAGTGGCCTAGTGCTCACCATGTTTCCGGAAACGAAAGGGAGACGGGGAGAGCTACAGAAGAATTAAGCCGCCGCAGCTGCTACCGGGATCCGACTGAACGCGGCCTCTCCCGGCCCCTTCCGTTTAGTAGGAGCCGCACAATGAGGGGCGGGGCGAGCTTCCGGCGCTCGCCGCGCGGGCCGACGGGAAATGAAGTCCCAGTATTTTGCACCGAAGGGGAGTTAGCCGCTCCCGGATTCCGGAGCCTGAGGCGCGGGGGAGTAGGCGAGGCCGAGAGGCGGGGCTGTTGCACGGGGAGTGAGCCTATTGGTGCGATGGACCAGGAAACGCTCTTGGCTGAGCAGAGGCCCATCGCTTGATAAGATGACCTGAAAATAATTCTGTCCTGAGTCTCTACTTATTCCCAAATGAAGTGATTTTTGGTTACTTATGGTTCCTGATGATCAAGACCTTAATGAATCACTGGCTTGGAATCCGCTTGGATCGCCAAGTACAACGGTGTCTTCAAGCCAGTAGACTTGCTTCCCTAAAGTGTCCCTCCATGTGGAAAGTCACTGTGACTTCTAAGAGGTCGTATGAAATTTCAACAAAAGAATAGGATTTTAACAAACTGAAAATGTTACAATAAAAAGTTTGAGAGCTTTGGTTTTGTTAAAGACAGTTGGCAAATTCTCGGATCAAACGTAATTCAT